CAGGCTGGGTATAAAGTAATGAGTGAGCGTTACGGCGTCTCGAACTGAACCAGACTTTCTCCATTAAGGAGAAAATCGCTTTGGGTGGGAGAGGCGCTCAGTGAGTAAACAACTAGCTCTGCAAGTATGAGTCATGAGTTCAAGTCACCGCCATCCAGGCCTGCACGTCTGTGACTCCAGCACTAGGCGGTGGAGATAGTGGGAACCAGGAGTTTAGTGGACAGCCAGCGAGCCAGCGAGCCAGCGTGGCGAGCTTCCTGTTCCGTGAGAAGCCCTGTCTCAAGGGAATAAGGCGGAGTGATAAAGACAGCCAGGATCCTCAAGCACCACACACACACACACACACACACACACACACACACACACCATTTTTTTTTTTTTCAAAAATCTTTAAAGAACAAATCACTTGGAGCAGTTTCTGGTTGAGCTGATGTGTCCCAACGTCTTGCTTCCTGCTTCTAACAGGAAGCATTTCCTGTGGTGTAATGAGGAAAGGAGAATCACTCAGTAGTTACGGTTTCTTTGGCATACTTTATCGGCTCCTGTATTTTTTGAATAAGTAGTACTTGAAGAGCTGAATTCTGACCTAGGTCTTCAGGTATCCGGAACTGTCTGTTGTTGGTGCTGGGAGAACCTGATGAGAAGGAAGGCGCTGGAGCAGTGCTTAACCTCTGAGGTTCTCTTCTCACCCTCTGCAGCAGCAGCAACACACTAAAACCATGCTCTGATTTACCTTAATTAGCATAGCAAATTGCCTCACATTTCAAAAAGTGCTAATAGATGTTAACTCAAAATAGATTAAAATGCCAGACAAATTGTACTACCTTAAAAAGAGTTATAATAATTTTGAAAATGTAAATCATGGTTATGCCGCCTTTGGAGAGAACGATAAAATCTAATCTTTCTTGTATACTCTTTAAAAACCTGGGGCATATGCTCCCCCCCACAATCACAGTAATTTCTTCAAGTAACATTTCTGAGGTTTTCTTTAGGAACACACTTCACTTTCCAAACCTTATGGGACGGGACGTAGAACAGTTGCCATTGATAGTTTTCAAAAAAGGGAAAAAGGAAATTGAATTTTAAACAAAGCTGTTATGGGGGATTATCTCTAAAACACCTTTATTTCCCCACTTATATTGCGTGCATTTTATAACTTTAAGCCTGTGCTTTCACGAGTGGAGTGGCACAGCCAGAATTTCTGCAGGCATGCATGTGTGTGTCGGCGTAGGATTGACAAATGATCTGGTCTCTCACGGTACCTTACACCACGCTTCTCCATGGCATGAGAGCACCGTTAGAGTCTCTACAAAAAGAGAGGAGTAAGCACCCTCTGTACGCCGAGGAGCCAGCAAACGTAAGGGGATATGAAATGTACCCTCAGCACCACCAGCCAACAGAGCCTTCCCTGTGGTGCTCATATGCCACGTTCCCCCGCATGACTTTTCCATATCTGAGTGTGGGGTTTTGTCTCAATATCTAAAGTGGGGCATTTCCCTATTCTCCCCCTGCTTTGTTTTCCAGAATTTACAGTTCACAGTTACCAGAAGCGTTGCTCAGGAGGCTGCTTTGTCTACTGATGACCACAGTTGCCATTTCATACGCTTCTGCTCAACTTGAGCTTGTTCTTACCCGTATCCCATGAAAGCCAGAGAATTCCCATGACATCTGTTCCTAAGTAGCAGGTGTACCTGACTTTATGCCAAAGAAATAGATACATTGAATTCTGTTTAGTCAAAGGAAGTATATTAGGGGAGCTGATGGAATAAATTAGCTCTCCCACAAAAGGTTTTGCGAATGTGAAAAATTACTACCTAATTTATATACTTCATAAATCCATGTCTTCGTTTACGGAGTTTGCTTAAGGTGAATTATACATCTCTTTCTGGAAAAGTTATCACACTGGTATTTCTTTTCTCTTTAAAAACTGATTCTCCAAAACAAATTGTCTGTCAGCCCTGTGCACAAACCTTTGTCCTTGCCTGCAAATAGAAAAGAGGTGGAATTTTTGTGCTAGGTGTGGGTGGGTTCTGCCCCTCCTTTCTTGTCTGTTCTTAGTAGTTCCTTCCTGTCAATCGGCTTGGACTTCATGGACTTTCTCTGCTTTCCCCAGTATTCTCTCCGACTACATGAAGTCTGCTCCCAGTGTGTGGGGGTCATAGTGCCCTGACAGAAGAGATCTGAACCCTGGAAGGCAGGCAGAGCAAGCCTTCTCAAACACTAGCAGCTCGCAGTCCTTTTCATCATCTGGAGTGCTAATTACCCTGAGCATATATGTAAATAAAATAGGTCTTCAAATCGAACATTTACAGATTAGAGATCAGAGAGAAATTCATTTTATTCTATTACTTATTTGGTTGTTTACTTACGGTTTTTCGAGACAAGGTTTCTCAGTGGAGCCTTGGCTATCCTGGAACTCATTCTGTAGATAAAGCAGGCCTCAAACTCAGAGAAAATCATTTTAAAAATAATACTTTGATATATAAATAATTTTGACGTTTTTTAGAAGATAAAATGAAGTTTATGCCCTTCTGAGGTGTGCGAGCTTGTTACAGAAAGAAGCAAGTCTCAGCTGAGCATTGGCCGATGTGGGCCACAAAGTGTCTTCACTGTTTTTCAGAATTGACTGGTACTTCAGGTTTATAATTGTCTGTGTTCGAAGTACAAATGTGTGCACGTAAATACGTATCTGTAGTTCAAAACAGCAGAAACCATTTCTGAAACCACTGGAGATTCTGTCCTAATCCCACTCTAAAATTCATTTTTTAATTTTTCTTTTATGAAACTTGAGTCAGCAGCTCAGACAATGGTTCTTAAAAATTGAAAATTCTAACATAAAACAGTCAAATGCATATGAATTTGACACTTACATGCCAAGGGCTGGTGATAGAAAAATAGTTAGTCTTTTCCTGTGATTAAGCCATTGTGTATGTAGAAGAGCAGAAAGCCTTGAATGTGCAGTGCCAACAGCAGAGTAGGCTCGACTCTGAGACCAGCTGTGGCGTGCTGGCACGCACAGTGAGGAGTGCCCATGCTATGGGTTCAGGACCAAGCCCTCCCGAGCTCACACTACAGCATGGACAAGCGCTGCCAGAGACATCTCAGATTCAATTAGCATTTAATTTCAAATCCATGTCCTGCCCTGGCCTGCTCAGAAACCACCCACTGCAAGACTGAAAACCCCCACATTTAACGACACAACTCTTTGGGGGTCCCAGTTCACAATTCAGGACGCTAGCTTGCTAGTCCTGAAGAACACCCAGTAGAACAGTGTCCTTGGATGTGAAGTGTATCCTAAAGATGACTTCCTGCTGGGGCTATTTTCCTGTGAGCATTGTAGGGGCCACTGTGGCGAGGGTTAATTTCTGGGACATCTAGAAGCGGAATGACACTGACTAGCACTGTGAAGATGGGCTTATCTCACGCATCGTTATAACCCTGGCAATCAGTAACTCTCCACTGAGTACCTGCGGCAGTGGCCAGAGCTGCCATTTAGGGGGCTTATTATGGTAGTCACAGGAATAGGCATAAGACTACATCTGAGCCTTACAGCAACAAGTCTGCCATGTGAGTCTTTGTAGCTTGACTTCATTGCTGAGGAATCTCATTCTAAGCTTTTTTTTTTTTTCTTTTTTTTAAGAGAGGAAGAAAGGAAGGAAGCAAGCAAGCATGGTTCAAACAAGCAGGCCATAACTAGAGAAATTCCCTGAAGGCTGAGCGTGGTGGTACATGCCTATAACCCCAGCTCTTGGAAGACCTAGTGACACGTTCTTGCTGCCAGCCTGCTTATATGGCAAGACCGGCTTAAACCCTCTGATAAAGATTAACTGTCACCATCACAGCATGACCATGGCAATTCTCAGTATTAAACAAAAACAACGGACAACCTAACTTTCAAATCACCTCTTTAGAAAAGTGCAGACAGTCAAACTTCATGACCCTACTTACAAGCAGGCTTTCAAAGCAAACAGTAAGGCCTTCTAGGGTTGGTTGTTCTGGTTGTTTCTGCTTTTGTTTTTTGTTTGTTTGTGTGTTTGTTTTTAATGGTGGTGCTGTTGGTTTTCAATAATGAACATTAAGAGGGATGCTCAAAAATGTTTACTACAAATACCTTTATTCAGACTTAACTCAGTATAGCTTACACAGTACAAATGAAATGTTGATGTATTTGAAAATGCCCAAGTGTTCAATAAAGATTTTAAATAAAGCTACCTATAAGTTGTAGGTCTTAGGTTAATCATTTATTTATCTAAAGGATGAAGGAAGCTGTCTGCTTCTGTGATATGAACTGCAATCAGCTTTAAAAAATTGACAAATTAATCCCTTCACAGCACAGCAATTGTAAAGGTGTTAGTTTTAATTAGGCCTGTCTGATTGCCTTGTCTAATCAAGAATCAAGGTGGACTCTTTGATGGCTAAGGTCTGTTGGGGCCATCCCTGACCTGCCAGCCATGTATGTTTTAATTATTGATTCCTCACATTTCAGCCCTTCTCACAAAGGGACTGAGGTTTGCAGTGTCTTAACATTTAAAGGGAAGAAAGCTAAATATTTTCCTTTGCATTTCTATCTAGAATCCTGTGTATCTCTCCCCCCCCCCACTCCACCCCCAATGTACAGTGTTGATCCTGAAAAGGCTTTCCTGCGGTGAAGAAGTCAAAGGGACGTGAGAGTGCTGTCTTACTGTTTCCTTCCTCTCATGCTCTGTATTTCAGTACGCATTGTTGAGGTCTTGGCAAACCACAGTCATTTGATTAGCAGGTACATTTGATTTCATGACATCATGTTTAATTAAAAATCCATATGAGCAGGTGTAGTGCTGGGATATCAGAGAAGTCAGACTACAGGAAAACGTGCTCAGCAAACACTTGCTCACTTGCGAAGTGGAAAGGAAAGGAGAGAGGCCAAGGCTCCTTGTTGCATTGCATGCTGCCCCAGTGCCTCCATGGCTGCATGGCGTTGGCGGTCTCTGTGTCTGACGGCGGCTCTTCTCTGCTCGCAGGTCAATGAGGTGACAGTAGAGCAGCTGGTGCAGCAGTACCCGCACATCACCTTCAGCACGGTTCTGCAGGACTGCAAGAGGACCTTGGAGAGAGCCTACCAGATGGGCTGGACCCCCAATATGTCTGCCGCCACCTCCTAACACTCTTGCCCATGCCTGGGCCTACTCAGGTCGTTGAGCAGGGTGGAGAAGTGGGTGTGCTAGAACAGGGAGTCTTTGGGAAAGGTCTTAACCATCACCTGTCTGTGTCTGTACCCAAGAATTCTGTTTGTGTCTCGTTTGCATACTGCACAGCGTAAGCATGCTTGTTCGCTATGTCCAGGTGAGCTGGCTTGTCTTCCTAAAAACGGAAGATTGAGAAAACCACAAACGTCTTGTTTTCCAATTCAAACATTTATTTCTTTTAAAAAGACTTTATGAAATCTCAAATGAGGAAACTTGGAGCTTCTAAGTTCTGCCACATCTTGAAGATGCTCACAAAAGGCTGTCTTTTGTGATGGGAAATGTACACTTTTGTTGAGACTAGAACAGAAGTAATACTGCTCTAACTAGAAGCCTGGTACCCCTCAAAATCTGGGAGTATGCACCCACAATCCCACCCTTGGGTACTGCCGTGCTTGGGCACACATGCTAGGCCAGTTTCTTGGTAAATTATTTCCTGACAGAGGAACTTTCCTGGGTCGTGGAGGAAGCATGCAGTCTGTTTTGGCTGTGCCTAACTCACCGTGCCCACAGGCGGTCAGCTTGCTGTCTTGTGGGTTCCCTAGGAACCAGAGAGGAGAAAGCCTTTTGCCAATTTGTATATGGAGGCAACAGCCCGAAGTCCCCTGGCCAGCTCACAAAGGTTAGCTCTTCATTATTCTGTAAATGCACTCTGTTAAGTAATAAATGTTTTAGTTGGTTTTACGTTAACACTGTGTTAGCTTTTACTTAGTGGATAATTGCTGCTCCCGATGTATTTTAATGACATTTGGGGCTAATCTTAGCATTATCCACATAGAAGCCACAAATGTAATTAATGGTGTGCAGTTATTTTAAAAATTTTACAGATCATTTCATTATTTTGGTAATTATGAAAATATATTCGGAGGTGGGGTAGTCCTATTGATAGAAGATTAATGAATGAGATGTAAGTAGACAATCTTCCTATTGATTTTTTTTTTTTTTTTTTTTTTTTGCTTTGGGACTTAGAGCAGGTTTTTTGAATATATGCATGTTATAATTTTGAATAGTTCTGACACTACTGCAAAGATCTACTGTTAGCTAATGTATGAGTTAAGGAGAGAATTTAGAAAATCTGTTCATTAAGATTCTGTTTACACTTGCCAGAAATAAGTATTTTAGTTTAATTAAATATTACCAGCTTTTAGTTATGTCAGTACCTCTCAGAAAATGAGTATATTTTTTGATTTCACACATCTTTACAGTTAATTCCTTGTAGGGACTCAGGCTCTAGTAACCTCTCCTGTCTAGATTTATAATCAGGCAGCAGGGAGCCTTTTTAAGCTAAAGAGTGATTATCTTTCATAGTAGGAGAAGCAAAACTTTGACTTTTGAACTTGCTATTTATTCTCCCCTTATGTGGTCTTTGGTCTTTACCAATTATAATGAGGTTTGAGTTTATTTCCTATAAGTTCCAACATTGCTGAATGATACTAGCTGTAAGAAGCAGAAAGCAGCCTTACATATGAATGCTATTTACATATGTATAATGACTTCTTTTCTGTAGAAAATGTTTGTTTCCCTTGAATATGTAAGCATGCCTCAGATTATGGCATTTTTTGTTTCAGTCCCAATCAGTTAAAAAATCTACTGAGAAAGTACCAAGAATGCTTTTTTCGTAATCAAACGGGTTGCTAGTTTAATTTGGAGGGAATGAAAATTGTTTAAGAAAAAGCTGTTTACCATTAGAAAACTACATTTCTTCTTATACATTGAATTGTATCATTTTATATCCATTTCTCCATACTAAAAAAAAATGTTATTTCATAATATTTTAACTGGTTTTTAACCCAAAACTAATTTATAAGACAGTATGTATAGTAATAGTAGCTTGAGTGAATAAACAAAAGCTTAATTTTTATATATGTCACACTATATTTTAAATAGTTACAAAAGACAAAAGAAGGGAAATCCGCCTTTGATATAGATGGTACAGTTTCAGTTCAAAGTTGTAATAATCTTTAGAGCGTTGCAGTTTAGTTGTCAATGGTTTCAGAGTGTAAAATTGATTTTTAAGCGTCGCAGTCTTGGAACCTAAAGTCCAGCACTCTAACAGGCTTTAGCTTGGGGGTGGGGAGCTGCACTTACTCTCTAAGATGCTGACTAATACAGAAAGCCTGATGCAACAGAACCCGGAAAATGGCTTTGGTTCATTTGTAGAAATCTGTAGAAATATCATATGCAGCCTCAAAGCATTAATCTTAAAAAGCAGCCAAGAAAAGCATCACCTCGGGTGATCCTGTAGAGGATGTTGAATATGCTCTCATTAGATGCTTTGAAATGAGGCTTAAAATACTTTTTCTGGGCAATATAGTCCCTTTTTCTGCTTAGACTGTCATAAATACATGTGAACACATTTAATGCAGGGCTTTTTATCCTCTCCAAATGTCAACAGTATTTTCAGAATAAAGCCTATGAAACACATTGCTGTCGTGGAAAAATTCTGGTCTTTGGTCTTTAATGTCCTTTTGAGTGAATAAAAAAAAAAAATTTTCACCCAGTTTGTAGTTTCTATATTTCTGTGAATCTTTTGACCTTGCAATGGGTTGCAATAAAAGAGAAACAAAACTCCACGTCTTTTGTTTCATTTTAGGCACTAAACGAGCTCCCCGTGGCTGGCTGGGTGTGGCGCAGTCGCCTGTGTCCGTGCATGTTTCACTATAGCCATGCACAGCTTTGACTAAGCCAGAGCGGTAAACACGATTCAGAAACAAGGCTAAAACCTCAGAAACGTAAGCAAGTGAATTGTTTTAAAATCCCATTTTCTATGTGGTTACTCATTTCATTTACTTAGTCATCTGTTCATTTTTCCCCAAAGGCAAGTAAATAAATACAATATTATTGAATAGCAGCCGTGTGCTAGAGACACAGGGTTTAAAGATGAATGAAACTCATTCCCAGCTTGAGGTTGCTCATAGTGAATAAGGCAGCAGCCTGGAAAACAAGCAGTGACATGGAATGTGGCATAGGTACTTATGCAGAGAACTATGAGCGAGCATGGAAGTTTAGTCATAGGTGAACTAGAGCTGAGATGCCCATTAGACCCGAGTGGCCATGCCAAGTATGTGACTGGAAATAGAATAGAAATGGGGAGAAATGCTGTGGGGATTGTCATCAGAACATGAGCCTGTCCAAAGTCAAGTATTACTGAGGTAGAAAAAGAAGGAGTGTGAGTATCGTGGTTTTGGACACTCCAAAGGTAGGAGGACTGAGAGAAGACAGAGACTCACCAAAGAAAACCAGAAAAAAACAAAAAGACAAACAAAAAAATGAAGAAGCCCATGCTAGACTTACACACAGAATTATCAAGCCTCATGCTGCTATAAAGTAAGATTAGTTTGATGAGTGACCATTGCAGACTGGCGAGGTGGCTCAGCAGATAAAGGCCCTTGCCAGTGAGCCCGACAACCCGGGTTTTATCCCTAACACCCACATGGTGGAAAGAAAGAACTGACGTTTGTCTTGTTTTCTGACCTTCACACATTTTTTTGTGGCATATGAACTCGAACACATATACACACACCAATAAATAAGTAATATGAATTGTCCGATAAAATATTGGGATATTCAATAAATGCAGTTTTAATAGTTTGCTAAGGACAGAGGCTTGTTGGAGTGAGTCTTATTTCTATGAGGCAAGTCTAATATCAAAACCACACAATTATAGGTAAAATCAATAAGCAGGATATACTACAATAGTCCTAAATAAACTCTTAGCAGTTAAACTGTCCTAACATTGCTTCTGCTCTAACCAAGGAAAAAAAAAAATCACAGGTTGTGTCATCAACAAAGATAGAAGTTATTCTTCATAGTTCTAGAAGTTAGGAAGTCTAAGAGCAAGGGACTGGGACGTTTGGTGGCTGTAAACACCCAGTGTTTGCTTCCAAGAAGGCCTGGAGCACTGTGACTGAAGGTGGAAGGGGGTGGAGAAAGGACCGCTCTCCTCCCCCTGAGGATGCATCAGTGTCCCCCTGGGAAACACTGGCCTTTGCATCTTAGTGGCTTCACTCTTTATGTTCTCCCCTTTGGGGTGAACTGCCCAAATCCTTTGGGAGAGACAAAAACATGCAAAATACAGTATGCATTAAAACCAAATAGGAAAAAAAATGAGTTTTTTTTTTTTAATGGGGACAATGAAAATGTTCAAGAAAAAAAATTTCTTTTGTTATAAAAACCTTAGGAAACCAATATAAGTTGGATGCATCCTTAACCAAAACCACAGAAAAAAATCAGTCTACAGTGGAGCATAAGGAACATTTTCTCAGGACCCAAGAGGATTGTTTGCTGCATTCCTACTTCTGTTAAGCATATAGCACGAAGAGCAATACCAGCAAAATGTCATCCTTCTAGAATGGGAGAACCAAGTTCTGAGTTAGGTAAATCTAATAAGAGTATCTTCCAGGACAATCAAAAACTCAAAGGAATCCATACATAATAAAGTAATCAGAATTAATTAGAGATAGTATCAAAATAGTGTTCTTTATAGACCAACGGTAAAGTAGAAAGGCATGGTTTCTTTTTTAATTTTTATTTTATTTTTTTATTAGTTATATTTTATTAACTGTATCCCAGCTGTATCCTGCTCCCTCATTCCCTCCCAAACCTTCCCTCCCTCCCTCATCTCCTCCCTGCCCTTTCCAAGTCCACTGATTGGGGAGGACCTCCTCCCCTTTCATCTGACCCTGTTTTATCAGGTATCTTCAGGGCTAGCTGCAAAGTCCTCCTCTGTGGCCTAGCAGGAGCAAGCCTATAGCCAACATCAAACTCAATGGAGAGAAACTCAAATCAATCCCACTGAAATCAGGGACAAGACAAGGCTGCCCACTTTTTCCATATCTATTCAACATAGTACTTGAAGACCTAGCTAAAGGCATGGGTTTTTAACAACTGCTGTATGGGCAGGAGAAACCACTCCAGAGATAAGAGTACTTCACTGCTGTTGCAGGGGACTCAGGTTTCCTTCCCAGCCCCTACATGGTAGTAGACAAAACTGTACTTTTATAACAGCAACAAAATACATGAGCATGCTAGGAGTGAAACCCAGGCCCCCACAAATGCTGGGCAAGCACGTAATTGAGCTTCATGCCCAGTCCCCAGCAAAATAACTCTTGACTTCTGCTCTAACCAAGAGGGAAATAAAATCACAGGTTGTGTAATCAACAAAGATAGAAGTTATTCTTCATAGTTCCGACATAGTATCAAGACATACTGATAGACCAAAAATAAAATTTTTAAGTGTATATGCACTAGAATGTCCATGGATTAAAAAAATCAGTCTCTTAAGAATATTAGGAGACAATTCTTGGAGGACCTTTCCATCTATGTCCATTTGAAAACAGAGCTACCCGCAGCCTCTGCTCTAGATTATCTTTACAAGGCTGGGCCTAGACTCCTGTGCTCCTATCATGTAGCGCAGCCTCACAGACAATCTACCATCCTTTTCCTTTTTAGTTCTTTGTGGAGTTTGGATCTTCAGAAGCTGCAAAGAGACGCTGCATGCTGTTGGGCTTCTGCTGCTCCTGTAAGGAGTCAGCCCCAAGGGAGCCAGCTTGTGTCTTCAGCCAGCACCCCTGAAAGTGTCACCCTGACATGTCAGCCTGTAAGCGTAGTAAAATTTCACACCACTCCTAGTTCTTAGCATGATAATCCTCCCCACTGATCTATTAGTATGACATTCCAAACAAAAATCCTTCTGCAATTTTTTTCATCAAATTTAAGTGTATTCTTAAATTCACATAGAAGAACAGACAAGAAAAAAAATCAAATAACATTTAAAAGATAAGATGATGGAATTCGCTGTCCTATAGAGGGCCTGGGTTCAGTTCTCAGCACCCATAAGACAGCTCACAACCATCTGTAACTCCAGTCCTAGAGAAAATGATGCCCGCTTCAGGCCACAAACATGAGGCAAATATATACATGCAGGCAAAACACTCACGTACATAAAATGAAATACCTTTATAAAATATCAGACCAGTTAAACTGGTTGTTTGTATGGGGCTATAGTTTACTGTAAAAAAGAGTTTATTACAGATGAGCTAAAACTTAACAAAAGGCCAAAATCAAGATTTGTAGAAGAAAATATATCATAAAATCTTTATGATATTGGGGGGTTAGCTTTAGTAATCTCAGAAACAAAACTAGAAAGTGCTACTTATAAAGTTTAGTATTAAGTGTCATTTGCACATTAAAATGAGTAATTCCTGGTCTTCAGAAGCCTAAGATCATAAACTAACATGAAATATCTGTAACAGAATTGCCAACAAATGAACAGTATCAGAATATGTGAAGATCTTCGGTGTTTGATTAAATATGGACTGAAGATGTAAATAGACATGGGTGCCCAAATAATCAATTAAAACATCCTTGAGTTTATCTGTGTTTGCATAAATGCAAACCCCAAGATACAAAGTTCATGACCAATGGGAAAGCCTTGTATGACTCAGTATGGACAAAGCTAGCAATAGGAATCCTTCCTACCCATGGGAGCTGGAAGTGTTTGGCCTTATCTTACAAAGGTAACCATTCCCTCACAGGTGTGCTCACAGGAAAACACACATGTAAGCTCTAAGGCATGGATAGGACATGCATGAGAATGACGTTCATGAATGGAAACTACTATTTGGTTTGGTTTGGCTTGGTTCTAATTTGTATTTGAGACAGGGGCTCTCTACATAGCTCTGGCTGTCCTAGAACTCACTTTGTAGATCAGGTTGGCCTTGAACTCACAGAGATCCCCCTGCCTCTGCCTCCAAAGTGCTGGGATTAAAGGCATGTGCCACCATGACTGGCAACTAACCATTTTTATTCAGTAAATCAGACTAGTAAAACTGAATCCCAGCTCTATACTGGAGAAATCTTAGAGATGCTTGAATGAAGAAAGCAAGTCATAACAGAAATGTTTAAATCTGTACACCACCTTTTAGGTTTCACAAACAATCAAAATTAAATAATCTATCCTTTGATATACAAATGTATCTAGAGAAGAAAAAAGTGATTGGCAGAGGCCAATAGAGTGAAAATACAGGTTAAAATGAGGTGGCTTTCACAAGATTTGCTTTGGCACTCTAATACAGTGTTCTTACGTTATATGTTCAACACTGCATGTCTCCAGCACTGACTGTGCATTCAACATACATGTATAACAACTTCATTTTCTTTACTATGTTTTAAATGGTAAGTAGTTTTCTGTCTGGGTTACACTGATTAACTGAATAGAAGAAACCTAATACAAAACTATCACAGAGCTCCCATCCACACAGGCTTCAGATGGTCTCGTGTCTAAGCAGGTGGCAGAGGCAGGGGAACACTATAGCCTTGTGCTCCTTCTCCCGTGCTCTCGGCACAATACTGCTTTCCTGAGACGGTTAATAGACACATTACAGCCACACAGGACTCTTCAGTCACCAAAACACAGCCACCTGCAGGAATACATTCCCAAGCCGACGCCGTGTCTGAGACCCTTTAGCACCCACTCCTGTGAGCTTCCTCTGCTGACAACGCATCATAAGGATGCCAGCGGCTGGCAAAGACAGGGAAGCGTCCAAAAGAGTCCGCGCTGTTCGGTTCGGCT